GGGGAGGTTTGGGGGTACAAAACTGCTTCTGGGGACTCACTGACCCGGCAAAGCTGGGAGAGGCCAGGTAGGAGCATCCAAGGCTTGGGAGGGGTGGTGGTGTCCACCTGCATGTCCCCTGCGCCGTGGAGACACACGTGAGGTCCCTGCATGCTTGGGGTGCAGCAGGCTCTTGGGGTGACATCCCATTAAAAGGCTCTTTGGGGAGGTTTGAGGGGGGCTGTGCTCTCCCCAGCTAGAAATCATCCTCCAGCGTTTCTCCCACATGTTTTCTACGGTCCCACACCACCCGTTTGATCAGTGGATCTTCAAATTGTCTCTTTGGTGCCCCAGGTCCTTGGCACAAGCTGGTGCTTCAGGATGGACCCACTCTTCCCTGCCCATATTTTGGAAGATCCTGACCTGAGAAAGCTGCTGAATGACTCCTCCATGCTGAACCTGAGCTTTCTCCCCAGTAACTGGTTCAACAACGGCACCGGGGACAGCTTCTTGCCACTGAGCATCAAGATCACCATTGTGGTTGTCTACTCCATCGTCTGCATCGTGGGGCTGGTGGGCAACTGCTCCGTCATGTATGTGATCATCAGGTAGGACATGCAGGCAGGGATGTTCTGGGGAGGGTTGTGAGTGGGGCAGAGCTTTCCCCCCCCACCCCAAATCCCTGCCGGGGGGGAGGCAGACAGGAGCTGCCCTGGTTATTGTGATGAGCTTTAGAGGTAACGATGTGGCGTTTGTTTTATTGTTTTGGTTTTATTTGTTTTTGTTGTTCATTTTTTTCCCCCCCTTCCTAGGCTATGATGAAGGTTTTCCACCAGTTTTCAGCTACCCTCTGGTGCCTCCTAAAGTTTAACCCAGAGAATGGAACAGAGTGATCAGATCTGCTCAAAAAAAAAAAAGAAAAAAGGCTTTTAAATTTTTTAAAATTTTTTTTTTTAAGGAGCTGGATGTCCCTGGGGAGGGCAAAGTGCTGGGAGCATCCGGCTGCCAGGGTGTTGGTGGGTCTTTAATGGGATCTTTCCCTCCTGTGCCATGTCCAGCACTCCAGCTGTGGCTGCAGGTGCTGCTCCATCTGGGAGTTGGTGCTTTCCAAATCTAAATCTAGTTGTGAGGGAAAGGGCTTGGTGAGAGGCTCAGTTTTACTTTTACAAAGAAAGAAAGAAAAAAAATTCACAAATGTAGCTCTTCCAACACTTTGGAAACTATAAGACATGAACAAGATGTGACAGGAAGCTGCAGAGATGGGGACAACTCTGCTGAGGTCAGGAGAGCAGAGGGATGGAGTGTGCATGGCTCCAGCAGCACTGCCCAGCCTCCCTGCATGTTGCTGGTGTTTTAAGTGTCCCTGGCTGGTTCTCCTGTGTTCAACCCCCGCCCTTCTACCCTGTTTCCTGCAATCACAGACCCTGTCTCCCACTGTAAGTACAAAATAAGTTAATGTGACCTTTAGGGCTGTGGTTCCATGTCAAACATCAGCAATCCCCTCTGATCTCTGCACCCTGCATGTTAAGGAGTGAGCTTCCACTTCATACAGGTCTTGGAGCAGATTCCTGGTGTACGTGAATGCTGAAAGTGCAGCAAATCATCGACTGTTGTGAGCTGGAAGGTACCCACAGGGATGATGGAGTCCAACTCCTGTCCCTGCACAGGACAATCCCAACATTCACACCATGTCCCTGAGGGCCTTGGCCAAATGCTGCTGGAATCTTGTCAGGCTTGGTGCCATGAGCACCTCCCTGGGGAGCCTGTTCCAGTGCTCCACCACCCTCTACCTCAAGAACCTTTTCCTCATGGCCAACCTGTTTCCTAATGTCCAAAGACAGAGTGAATTTGTTTTCTCCTCCAACAGAAGATGAAAATATTTAGTAGGTATTCAGACACTGATGAGATGAAGTCTGGCTCCTGCCAGGAGCCCTGCTGCTTCCAAAGCATCTTTCCCTTGACTACACTCAACTTGGCTGGGGGAGATGCTGCAGAATGAAGACTTTAGTATCCCAGGCTGGTGAATGGCAGCTAAATCTCTGTTACAAGGGCAAAGTGATGTGACTGTTCACCAGGCTGCCTGGCTGTGCTCTTCCTGCCAAGGAGTTTGTCAGGGAGAAGGGATCGTGTTAGCCCTGGGGAATCTGGAGATGGAGAGAGGATTGTGGTGCAGCCATGCCGTGTTTGGAGAGGTGGTAGTTCTGTCTGGTGTAGTAGCACCCATCTGAGTAGGCAAAGTGTTTGTGGCTGTGGGTAAGTGTGGTGAGTGGTGAGGCTCTGGGAGTGAGAAGTCCTCATCCCACAGCAATGCAGCTCCCTGAGAATGGCAGTATGTATGCAGGGGAAGGATGTCCATGTCCCATGCGTGAAGGTTAGACATATGTAAGGAGAAGCCTGGGGAGAAATCTTCTCCCTGTCTGCAAAGGTTCTGTGGGATGTGGACAGCAGGACCCTGCTGGCCCTTGCCCAGTGTATCACCAAGAATATGGATGTCCCAACCCAGCATCCTGGTCAGGGTGGACATGTGCTGTGGCTCTGTGAGGCCACGCTTTCAAAATGATGGCTTCTGTTCTGCTCCTTTTTGGCTTTGATACTTTCCAGTTGGATCAATGGGACAAAATAAAAAAAAAAGTGGGATTTAATACTGGAATTTCCCCTGGAACTTATTTTTTTAAGTGTCCTCCGGTTTTACTGGTTCTAAACAATTGAAAACTGAAGACAGATGTCACCCCCATCTCCCCCAGGCCTTTTCCACTTCTCTTTCCCCTTTATCCAGTAAATCCCTAGACATACAGAAGAGCTAATAGAAGGTTTAATTGTTTGGGTCCTCCTTTTTGGGGATTTACCTCTATTTTCACCCAAAACTTCTATTTGATCCTGGAGGGGCCACTTGAATAATGTGTGCTGGAGAAGTTATAGGTGAGCTAGAACATGGGTAGAAGTAGTTATTGGTTCTCTCCATCAGTGACCCTTGGGAGCTCAGTACTGGCTGAGACTGGTGCAGAGTTACACCCAGGGAAATGACCCTTCTTGGTTTGGTGAGTAACTGTAACTTCTGGTTATTTCTTCCCAGGATTGTTCCCTCCTTGCCCTGTCTGTAAAGATCAGGAGCAGGTTTGGTGATAAACTGGACTCAATATCTCAAACTCTTGACCCTGGTCATGTATGCAGATTCATGTGGATCAGCCTAATTAGTAGCCCTGCAAGGAGGATGTTGATGACTTTTCAAACACAGGTTTTCTCCCCAGACTGGAACATTGGTGCTTCTGAGCTTCATGTCTTCAATAACATCTTTTCTCAGTAGGTTGAATGTTGGTTGCTGGTAAGTCAACATGGGGCTTTGAGACTCTTCATGATACATCTCTTCCGTTAAAGGAACAAAAGATTGGCAAACCCTCTGTGCTGCACCCCTGTCATCTATAGGTATGGTGCACCTTACAAAAGCTGTTCTTTTTCCTTCCATGCTTATATTTCACCAGGGACAACCAGACCAGCATATTCTCCTCCAGAAAAAGAACGACACCATGACGTAGACAGTAATTGTTTCCTGTTTAAGAGGGAATTGGGAAACACAAAGGCTCTAATATCAGCACTCGAGGAAATTGGAGGCATCAGGAAGCCTTGTTTTTTGTTCCTCTTGGATGAGTTTTTCACAGCACCCAGGGAAATGTTTAAAATCTCCCGGTATTTCACACAGAAATACAAGTTCAAAGCCTCCTCTGGGGTTTTCTCCTCTGTTGTAAAACCCAGCCTACATCTCTATTGTATTTGGAGTGATTTAACATTTGCAATGATTAATTTCTGAAGACAGTCATCATGTGAGTGTCAATCCCTTTCTAGTGCTCTGCAGCACTAATTGGATAAGACTGAGAAGGGCTCTCGTCAGGAACACGATTTCCTGGACAGTAAAGGGCCTATTGTGGAAACTTACCCTGTCTGTGGCTTTGTTCTCCTTGCTCATTGTGGAGCTTCTTGCCAGTAGAGATAATCCCTCCTCTCCCTCCTTCTCCTTCTGCTGTTTGCTCTCTTCTGCATATATTTCCTCTACTGCTTTTTAATGATTGTGAAACGAGGAGCTGAACAGCACGAGGCAGAGTTTGGGAGGGGAGTGGTGGAAACCAGGCTGCTTGATGTCCTTCTTATCTATTGTGATGCAAGGCTGGATGCCTGAGAACTTTGTTTTTAGGAAGGGAAGAGAAGACAAGGGGAATGCAATTGTTCTTGCAACAGCCATAGAGTTGGATGACACATGGGACTGGAGGTGACACTGATCCATGCATGAGAGCAACCAAAGTGTTGCTGCACGTGATGTGACAGACCTCCAAACCTCCACCAGTGTTCCAGGGAAGGGACCAGGGACAACACAAAGCTTCTGGCCCAGGATGTCCTCTGTCCTCTGCTCCATCATGCTGCTGCCATGCTCAGCAACGATGATATGGAGGACTCCCTTCCTCAGAGTTGGCTCTGCTTGCTTGGATCAGATCCCTGTGGGAATGATGCCTCATTTTTAGGGCACTGCTCTTTGCCTAGTACTGGGTTGCTCAGCTCTCCCTGCTGAACACTGTTTTAGAGAATTTTAAGCTGCTCTTTAGGCAGATTAGGGCTCCTACACTTCCATTTGCTGCTTCCAGGTGAAGCTTTAGGAGGAGGGCTGTGATGGGGAGGTGTCTGCACCGATCATCTGCCTGGGGATGGTTCTGGCAGTTGTTATTCTGCTTAAAAACTGCATCGATCCCTGCAAATAGGGTGAGGGCAGCTGGCTGTGATGAGCCTGGGAAAATGAAGTTAATTGTGACACTGCAGAGATGCCGATTTCTTAATAGAAAGCTTTCTAAGGGAAGAGCCTCCACCAGCTGTGTGTCTTGGAGCTGAAATTGAATGAGTGTGTAAGGTGGCATGGACCCAGCGGGGCCAGCTGAGACCTCAGCTCTCTCCAGATCCCCCTCTTTTAGTTTTTCCTGGAAAAAAAAAGACAATTGTTGTAATTTGTAGAGAAGAGAAACCCACGCCAAGGGCTCTGCACCGTGCAGAGCAATTGGAGCTGGGGGAGGATGGTGAGATAGATTGTGATGAGCTCCCTCCCCAGCCTTCCTGGAGCCCTTTCAGGTACCGGAAGGCTGCTAGAAGGTCTCCCTGGACTTTGGCCAAGGGCAGGGAGTGACAGAACAAGGGGTGATGATTTGAAACTGGAAGAGGGGAGATTGAGATGAGATGCGAGGAAGAAACTCTTTGGTGTGAGGGTGGTGAGACAGTGTCCCAGGTTGGCCAGAGAAGCTGTGGCTGCTCCTCCCTGGAAGTGTT